AAGCATGCGAATTCACTGAAACAGGAAGAGATACTACAATAAAATAATCATAATAAGGTAAATGCTCATAACATTAATACTTTGAGATAACAACACATATAAAAATAAATAAATAAATACATTGTATAACTATGGTACCCCTTTGGATAATAACCATAAAATACTAAAAAATATGATGCTTAGATGTATTTATTTATATATAACTTCATTGGTGATACACTAATTAATTAAATAGATAAGTTACCTTTGGATATCCTATATTTACCCAATTAAAAATTACATACAACCCCTTAATGTTTATTTAATTACTTGAAAATTAATTCCCTTTGAGGAATTATTTCTAATAATTGAATAAACCCAATATTCATGAATTTTACAAAAAAATTATAAGCATCATTATTCATGAAACACTGCAGTTATGTTTACCACTAAAATTAATATCCATTAATCATTATGGTTAGGCCACTTTGGTAGCTACCAACCTTTCTATAATATGAATATTAAATTACTTAATGATAAATTTAACATTAAATTACCCACCACATTATGCACACATAATTTATAGAGTTAATAAATTAATTAAATTGCTAGTAATTGTCCAAAAATTTCATAAATATATGTAATGTAAGTGTATAAGCGTATATTTAATCATGTACAAAACAACATCATTACAATTTACAGCCTCAATTTGTGCAGCAGAATTAATAATCAAATATGTCATTCTGTAAATTGATGTTGGGACCATAAACTAGACATGCAAAGTGAAATCACCAGACAAGGACGCCTGGTACACCCACATGCTAGAATAAAATAATAATAATAATAATAAATAAATAAAAACAATCACTTTGACTTGTTTTTTTGTCTCATTAGGATATATATATGTATATATAAAATAGATAATCACCCAGATTCATTTTTTTTTTTTCCAGCTTTTTAATTCATCAAAAACAATAATATAAGTATCAACAGACTTAACTAATGTTATACACCCGTAAGAACAGAATTCAAGGCATAACTTTAACTTAAGTCAACAAAAATTGATCAATGCAAACAGATCCGTGATTAAAAACGCTACTGTACACTCGAATTGGAAAAGTTTGATCTGACAGGCGCATTCGCTCTCAAATAGTGTCCGAATATAATAAATTAAAATTTTTAATTTTTAATTTAAACTTACACATATTATTTATGCAAGGATAATGAAAAAATAATAAATTCCAAAACTACAGGCTCTGATACCACATGTAAACTCTAATTAAATTTGTGTTAGACTTTAATCACAAATTATCATAAAACCTTAGATCTTATAACTTCAATTAATTTCACATCCTTATAATGCATAAATAAATATAGTTAGATATACATACCTCTATTCATGATATCAAACCTTGTTGAGATTAAATCAAACGTCCAGGATCCTTTAACCACGAACCAATCTGCAACTCTGATCAACAGGCAAAGGCGGAAACTGGTTTCTCTCTCTTGACCTTTTGCACATAATAACCTTTTGCGTGTTGTCTCAATAATTGTACATAATTGATGGAGTATATGCACTTTTATAAAGGCAGAGAGAGGATCAGTTTTCCTTTTAGTAACATAATCCTACTTTCCATCAAAGTAAGGAATAAGAAGGAAAACACTTCTCCAATAAGTAATTACCAAAAAAGGTAATTATAAGTTGACCAAGAATAATTAATTGATATCTATTTACTTAGCCACCAAGTAATATGTCACATGTCCAAATCATGTGGGCCACAATTAAATAAATAATCTTACAAGAGAGAGAGAGTGTGTGTGTGCCGTGGGCGGTGCAAGAGACACTGTCAGGCTACCACACTGGTGAGCTACGGGTGCACAAGTCCCACATCGCCTGGGTAGAGGAAATGTGAAGTGCTTATATGTAAGTGCATCATCTCCAATTGGTATGAGGCCTTTTGGGGTGAAGCCTAAGAGCAAAACCGTGCAGGCTCAGGCCCAAAGCGGACAATATCATACCATGTGGTGGAGCGGGTCGTTACATTTGTTCTATTGAGTCTTTAGAAGTTCACACCATTGACCAATCTTACCCTAAGGAGGTTTCTACATACTCATACCAAAGCGAATCTCATACTTTTTTTTGAGGCGATAGCTCCTAATGCAACCGATCACCAAGAAACCCAAATACTTGAGGTTCTTAGGGTAAATCAAGAAGGCATAGGTTGGTCCATTGATGATACCGAATGTATTAGTCATTTAGAGGTATAACATTACAATCACTTACAAAATGATGCTATAATTTGAAAGAAGTTGGATATACTGAAGTTGATCTTTTTGGGGGTACTTCCCCCATTGCATCTGGCTGAAGACGTTAAACTTAACGCTCCTGGGAGGCAACCCAGCCGGTTATGTCTATTTAGTTACCTTGGATTAATTTTCGAGTCTTAACCAGTTGTCTCTCACTCATACTCAGTAGCTCTGTAACTGTTTAGTATTTGAATATGGTTTGAAATGGTTTTCGATTATTTTCTATAACCTCTTTGCAGAAATTGTACGTCCACATCGAAACAAATGAGGTAATATATTCCAATATTTCTTTATATGTCTCCACCTATACTTGTCCATTTAGTTTCCATATTCTTTGGTGCCAACACTAGGGATAATGTTGTCTTTTGTTTAGGGGTGGGGCAATGATTTTGCTTCTATGGAAATTACAAGTTGAATTGCATATTATGTCACAATTAGGTAAATTATTGTTCATGTAGGATTGAGAGAATTAGTATTTTTGTGTAGTTTTGAATCTTTAATTCATGTTTTGGTATATGTGGTCCACATCACTGTCCAGTTTGACTGTTGTTAATGATAATTAGTCTTTAGTGTACTTCACTTCTCATAGATGCACACTAGTATCTTTTTGTGGGGTATAGGCCTAACTTTATGTGATATATTACATGTGTTGAATACGAGTTAGTAGACCTTGAAAAGTAGATGTCCTTGGCATGATGATATAGAAATATACATAATTAGTTAATACCTTTCATGAAGTAACCGTGCCTCTTGCCTCAGTAAGTAGTGAGTGTTTGTGTCAAAAAGTAGAAGGTTAAGAAAACAATGATAGTATTGGTAATGCTAGTTTAGGTTCGAAACCTATTTGACTTGAGTTAATAAGCTCTTTGGGGTGTCTTTACACCTAATGCCCTGAAACTGTTTTGATTGTGAGTCATTAGCCTAAAGCTCGCTACATGGGTCATCTAGAAAGCTTAAGGAATTTAAACATTGTGTAGCTTGCCATCTTTGAAAAAAAAAAAAAAAAGTAAAGTCATGAATTCTTGCCTTGGGTACTCTAACTCGGAATGAAATATTAATTAGTTGAAACTATTATGGTGTGTAATATAAGGATAAAAAGGTAAAACACATAATTGGATGCTAGTTCACATCAAAAGGAAACTAGGTATTGATTGCTATCGAAAATATGTTGAATTGAAATTTGTGTGGGGACCATAGTATTAACATGTAATTAGATGTTTGGGATAGCTTGAGAATATTAATCTTTCTTATACTTGACATAATAACTAACTTGATGATGATGTGTATGCAATCTTTTTTGATTCCATGGAAGTAATTGAGCTAAGTGCAATATGTGCACAATTTTGGATGTTTATGGGTATTATCTCTGAAACCCTCACATGGCTATACCTTGTCCATTAGGGTAACCTAGGGGTTTAAGGCCTTATTGCATATGGTAAATGTAATCGAAAGTAGCCTGCGAAAGTGGCATATTTTTAGTTGGGAATCAGTTAAAGTAACAATTTTGCGAATTTATCTCTTTTTGCATTATTTGCTAGAGGACTAGCAAAAGCTTGTTTGGGCGTAATTTGATAATCGTATAAAACTTGTTTTTTTATACTTAATAATAAATGATTAATTATTTTTTTTTTCATTAGATAAGTGTTCTTATCCCTACTTTTCATGTTTTATAGGGGCTGATTTCGGAATAAGAAGAAAAGAGACAAAAATAGCAAAAATGTGATATTACAAGATCAATCAAAGTCAAATTCAAATTTGATTTTTCCATAAAATCAGCAAAGATCAAACCAAATTGGAAAAAATATTATTCGAAATTGGAAAGCATATCAAGTCAAAGATATCAAGCCGGATTGGAAAGCATATAATTTCAAATTAGAAAGTAGCAAGATTTTAGTAAGATTTTATTTTATTTTATTTTTACTTCTGTAATTAGAATTTTCCCATCCTAATCGTCCAATTCTAACTTCTCTAAATAAGGACATATGTAGAGGATGTTTGATGTATAAAGTTAGTGAGAGAAAATAATAACAGTTTAGAATTTTTATCTTGAATTTCTTTTGTGCATTTTTAATTTTATGTTTTATTTTGTTGTAAGTATGCTAACTTAAAACCCCTTCTTAAGGTAGTGATGAAGCCATTTACCATGGCTGAAATATAAGTAAATTTAGTTTAATATTTTTATGAAAATTTCTTTTTAGAATATTATTTTACTCTTCCATTCTGTATTCTTATTTTGATTAAAAAATTAAGAGGAGGATCCTTCGCGTTTGCCTGGTAATTCAGAGAATGCTTATTCTATTTACCAAAGATATATCAGATTAAGTAAAATATATTCTCAAGCAAGTGTTATTTCACGCTATTATTTTCTTTGATCTTTCTAAGTTGTAATTGGACTGGTGAGCTGATTTGCTTACAATAGAAAAAAAAAAAAAAATTACATAAATTTATTTATAGTAAGCCGTGGTGGTGGATTCTTTTCCTTTCAAGATTTTTTTCCATTATTTGAAAAGAAAATTATTCAAATTGTTTTAAAAGCTCTGCTTCCTTAAATTTTGGTTTTTAATTTTGATTCACTAGTTTAAATCTTGTACGGTTCGATCCTGTTTATTCTATATCATTTTTAGTTTAGTTTTTTTAAAAATTTTCATTATTTTGTTCGAAGTATAGAAGAACAACTATAGAATTCATAAATTTACACTTGTCACAGTCCACTATTGATCAATCAACAAACTAAAGACGAAACTTTATTTATACACTTCACTAAACAAATCAATTGAAAGCTCAACATTCATTGTTTTGAGTCTTTTGACAAAGAGATACATCTATCCTTATGAATGTTCGAGAAAAAGAACCTTCAATTTGAGGACAAACTGAGCCTATGTTTCTCCTCCCACAATCATCAATCTTATGTCATCAATCAAACGGTCCAGATTACAGTAAGAGGACCCACCTTCACTCACAGATTCTCTCGCCATTTTCCCCATTTGATCCGCCGATACCATGAACTCATCCTTCCTCTCCTCCATGAGATCTCTGAGCATCTTCTCAACCACAACTCTATCACACGTGTCCTTCATGTCCAAACCAAGCTTCCAAACCTCACTCACAAACCTACTGTTCACCTGCTGGTCACCAAAATATGGCCAACAAATCATGGGCACTCCAACGACCATACTCTCCAAAGTTGAGTTCCATCCACTGTGGGTCAAAAACCCACCCACAGCTTGGTGGGCCAACACCTCCTCCTGTGGAGCCCAGCCCACTATATACCCCCTCTCCTTGGTCCCCTCCCTGACCGCCGCCGGAATCTGACCCTCCCAACCCTTAACAGAGTCCGGTCGTATGACCCACAAGAACCGTTTCCCGCTATTCACCAAACCGTGACAAAACTCCATGACTTGGTCCTTCGTCATCGGTGTAACGCTTCCAAAGCTCACGTAGATCACAGATTTTAACGGCTGAGAATCGAGCCACGTCAGGCAACTCCGATCTTGTTCCCATAAACACGTAGTACTGTTTGAAGATGATGACTTTGTTTCTTGTGTGAGTCTAGTCTTCACGTGCAAGTGAAGTGGTCCGATGGTATAGAGTTTTGGACAACGGGTGCGTATGTGAGCGAGTATGGGTCCTTCTAGGTCCTCAAACGTGTTGAGTATCAGAGCTTGGACTCGAGTGGTATTCTGGGTTTCATCAATCACCATTCGGATACCCGGGTCTGCCAAATCACCCACCCGGCAAAAACTCGGGAGATCACGACGTCGGAGATAATCTTCCATTCCCGGTACATTCTCTATAGCTTCCTCCATCTCGTTACCTACAGTTAATTTGTTTCATATATGTCTGAGAAGGCATAGAACATATTTATAAATTTGTCGCAGTCTTATGGACTCGTAGTGTGCCTAATACAATCATTTTATCAATAATGCAACACAGTTATGTGACAAAATACATAAACCTATCGATTATGCAATACATTTATGTTTTAAAATTCAACATATTTACATAAATTTTACATTTTCAATTTAAAGTTATTATTACTTCATTATATACAAATTTTGTACTTGGCACAAGAGGGTACCAAAAAAAAAAAGTATCCTATTTCATGGTGAGAGTTATTAAAGAGGAAACATATGATATGATTGAGTAAAAAAGAGATTTATCGTCTCGTCATGGAACACGAATTATTGTAAGTAAGGAAGACATTATTTTTGTGATACATTATTTTTTACTTAAATAAAATAGTTGAATATATTGAATTTTTGGACTTTTTATTATTATTTATATATATAAAAAAAATGTGCCATCCTACTCATAAAAATAAGACAAAGATGGATACTAATAAAGAGGAGAGGTACCTTTGAAGGGAAGCTCTCCAGCTTCAATGAGTTGTGGGATGCAAAAATAAGTCCAGAAAGCACAGGCACTTACTGTACGGAAATAAATAATTGGAACGCTAACCTCTTCCGCAGCATCAATTGTAAAACCCAGTACTCCGTCGGCTATGACGCAAGTCACCGGCCGACGTTCACCGACATGAGTGGAAAGCATAATTTCCTTGAGAAGTGGTTTCGCAGTGTGTTTTAGAGAATCAAACAACTCCATGAGTCGGTCGATGGAACGTGGGTGTTCTGACGGAAGGCCGTCGGGGATGGTTTCGAATCTGAATCCGGGATATCGACTGAAAGAGGACTGAACGTTGGCATAACGTAGGAGGCGATCGTGGGTATGGTTGGTGAGGAGGAAAGTGACGTGGAGGCCGGCGAGACAGAGGAGCTCGGCGAGCTTGAGCATGCTGTTGACATGACCCTGTCCCGGAAAGGGGAAGATGAGTACATGAGGAGGCAGTAGCTCTGGTTCTTGATGATCCATTAAAGTTACTGTGGGATTGCAATGAAACTGGTCGGAGTGTTGGTTTTTTGAAAAAAAAAAAAATTCAAATTGAAATTTCTAGTGGTATTATAATCAAAAAGTTGTGCTAGAGCTCGGAGTAAAGACGGGGAAATGGCTTGTCCAACCATGGACTCATTATGGTCAGGTGGACAAGAGCAATTTGATTTCCTTTCCTTGATGAGGACAAGAAATATCTTACTTTTTTGGTAGTATGTGATTGACGTGGACAAGAAATACTTTATTACCTTGTTGTATGTTGTATTAATCATATGGTATCCAAGGTTAATTTTAAAAAACTCTCTTAAACTATGAAAAAACTTGCAACTAACTCTCTAAATTACAAAAAATATAAAAAGTCTCTCTGAACTATGTAAAAATGTTGCAGATCACCTCATCCGGCCAAAGTTCGATGACGATTAACCGATAAATTTGATTCTTTTTTTTAAAAAGACTATACTGTCCTTATAAACATGAAAAGACAAAAGTACCCTTAAATTTCTAACCTTTGTCTCCAATATCCAAACTTGGCTTTAACCTTGTGGTTATCCAAACATGGCTTTAACCGGCTGGTTTGGTCACCGGAGAATATACACAGGTTGTGAGCTCGCGTTCTGTCAAAACTAATCTTTACTGGGTCATGCTAGCTTGGAGCTCGCTGCTGGGTCAGTCGAAACTTACCGGAACGGGATGAATGGAGGTCGTTGTTGGGTCAGTCAAAACTCACCGGAGCGGGATGAACGGAGGTCGTTGTTGGGTCAGTCAAAACTCACCGGAGCGGGATGAACGGCGGTGGTTTTGAAATCAACAGGTATGAGCGTAAAGAGAGGGAACGAGCGATCATCAGACGGCCTTAATTGCCCTTCGCCTCAGCCACGAACACCGATGATGGTGAAGAGGATGTCAGTGCTTGACAGGCAGCAACAATAGAAAACGTGATTAAGAACGGTGGTGGAGCAAGGGAAAATCAGTACCGAACTGGGTTTGCCATTTTTCGGTTCAGCGAGCGGTGAGGATTGGTAGTGAGCACGGATTCTTGATTCGAAGTTGTTCATGTGGAGGTCTCGGTATGAGGAAAATTCTCCACGTTGATGGTGGTGGTGAGCTTGCCGCCGGGCGATTTCGGTCATCCTCTGTCTCCGGCAACTTCCCTTCTCTCAACATCTATGAGTGGTCATATGTCATGTGTCAATGGATTGAAATTTTTGGGATTTTCTGAAATTAGGGTTCTAAAGAATTAGGGATTTGGCCTCCCTTCTTTACTCTGTCTCCTCTGCAACTCTAAAGAATTAGGGATTTGACTCCAATTCATCCATCCATTAACAACTGGCTCATCAACTTTGTTTATTAGTAATTGGAGATCATCTTATTCTCCAAACTCACGCTAATCATTAGCAGGAGTAATGGTGACTGATTTAATTTTATCTTGTGTGCTTATAATCACTGGACTGATTTCCCAAATCCATCACGTTTATGCCCACGTCTCATATGCAACCTTCAACAAATAGTGGCCTAGCCATATTAACATCACTCACAACTTGCTTTACAAAAAAGACGACTTCATTCTTTGCAACTATAAGAGGCGAAACAACATATTTTTTCTTCGGATCAATCCCTCGAGAATTACCGTCTGGTGTTGTAATCTTATTCACAGCGTATATACAACACACTTTCTCTGCCGCAAGTCTGTACCATCACCGTCGATTCACTAAGGGATAATTTTTTAATAATTCAACTCAATCCAATACAGAAGAACACCCATTTTCTCTCTCTACATATATGTACACGAATGATTATACAAATAAACTAAGTAGATGTTCTGGGTTTGATTGGGTTGTATTAATTGGGATGTATATACATATAAATCAAAAGGGTATTTTGTGTATTCTGGGTTTGAATCACACCTTCTCGCTTGCCATCATCGTCGTTGCCGTCCTCGTGTTCGTCAGTAAAAACATTGTTGCTGGGAATGTTGGGAGAAGCCGAATCAGACGATGTCGTAGAACCTGCAGCAATTTAAGTCAACATTAAATTTGCCACGTCAGCAATTTAAGTCAACATTATTTTAAACTGCATTGTTTTTTAATAAGGGCAAATTTGTCTTTTTTCTTTTCCGGTGGCCTGAGTAGGCAAATTGCAAAAAAATAAAAATTCAGGGGAGTTACTTGTAGTTCTGAGGGGTTAGTTGCAAAACTCCCATCAGGGAAATTTTTTACACTTAACCCTGATATCTATAACTTATGATATGAATTACAAAACTAAAGTATTTTTATTTTTATTTGTCTGACAAAAGGTATGATTAGTTGATGGCGGCATTGGTGATAAGTTTTTCTAAATAAGGACCATTTAATTTTTTATAATGTAAAATTTATAAGTTACAACCAAAAAAAATATATATATAAACAATACTAATAAGGATATGGGTAATTTACACAAACTTTTTCTATAATTTGTTATAATTACAAGAATTTCTCTCGAGTTTGAGAAATTACTCGGACCTCTCTAAGAATGAAAAAATCCTACATGGACCTCCCTTCTGATAGACTCAACGACGAAAATTAATGACGTCATTTACTATTTTTACTAAAATTCCTAAAATACCCTTGTCCCTATATAATTACATATTTAATTAAGATAAAAGATATATATACACACACACACATACACACGTGATATTATATTATGAGGCAACCAATAGCCGATGGTGCTTCTGGCTTCGAAGAGTTTGAGGTGAGGCCAGGGCAAGGCGGATAACAGCTCAACAGTCAACATCATTCCCATAAGGAAGGACCATCAAGAAAGATTGCCTCTTCTGATTCTTTTGTTCTCGCATCAAGCACCGTGGTTACATAAGCGATGGTGAAAGATCAGATTTTCTTTGAAAAGCTTTTCTCCTCGCACATTATTACGAAACCCAATTCATGAACCTGGTCATGAAAAACCTAATTCCGGCAAAAGGAATGGTGGCTGCAAATTGCATTTGATCCGTGTGATTTTGTTTTTATTTTGGAAATCAAAATTGGGTTTGATCTGTATAATTTGGTTTTTATTTTGGAAATCAAAATTGCGATTGGGTGTGATCTGTGTGGCGGAACCTGGTCATGAAAAACCCAATTCCAGTGTGTTATTATTTTGTTTTGTTTTATATTAATTTTTTAAAATTAATTTAAGAATTGATCTGATATATATTTTTTACCGAATTGAATGAAAAAGATAAGGATGGAGGATTGTACAATCTAAGCTGGAGAAGCAAGAATTGCAGGAGGGTCCCCTACCTAATTCATTGTCATCACTATCCGGGCTCCAAGTTTTGGATGCTTCGAGTAATCGATTCACAGGTCATATTCCAGCGAGCTTTGGACGCCTTATTTCGTTGAACAAGCTTGTTCTAAGCAAGAATTCTTTCTCTGGATTGATCGCTTCGTAGATAGGCAACAAATATATATATATATATAAACACACAGATAAAGACGGAGGGAAACAGAGATGGCAGTGGCGCCCATGGTTTTAAGATTTAATTTTTTTTGTTGTTGTTTTTTCTCCCCCCTTACATATATAGAGGGTACTTCAGTAATTTATCACAAAAAATTAAGGGCATTTCAGTAAATTAGCCAGGTTCGTTAGTATATTTGACAGTTCGTCACACATAAGGGAGGTCCGTGTAGGATATTTTTAAAATTAGGGGAGGTCTGAGTAATTTCTGAAACAGGAAGGAAGGTCCATGGCAAACCATATAGGAGGTTTGTGTAAATTACCTTATGGACAATGCTTAACTACTCACTAGTGAATAACTTCTCCCTGCTCACCCCTTAAGTGTTTCAATAACAAAATAACACATCAGCTTTAATAATAAAATTAGCAAAATAATAAAAAAGAAGAAAATCGGATCGATTCGTTTTAATTGGGTAACTCTTTTCTCTTAGCAGTGCAAAAATACTTAGAACATATAAATAAGTAACCGACTCGTTCTTGTTGTTGGACCTTAGCCTGACCCCTCAGCAAATCTTTTATGACATAACCATATATCTGTGATTGTTTCTTCTATGAAATTGCTTTCAACCTCAAGAATAAAACCTAGTTAAACCCATTTTTATATATATTCCTCTCATTTCTTTTGTATTGGTTTTATGAGAGTCTGGATGGACGTGTCACTTATGAAATTAAATTCCTTGTCATCTTTGATGTGTGCTCTAATTAAAAGGCTACTCTGTAAGCATCATGTAATTAATTTATTGAATGATGATTAAAAGCCTCTTTCTAAAAATTAAACCCTAAATGTACAAAGCAAAGAATTAAATCATACCTCCACTATAAGACATAGTTGAACCCACAATTCTTGCTTGTCTGTTGAGTGATGATGTTCAATGGAGCACGAGAGGAAAAAGAAAAATAACCCAAACACGAATCAAACATGTTCGCTCATTAATTGATGATGTCCCATGGAGGTGAAAAGAAGAAGAAGAGTGGAGAGAGAGGAGGGCGTGAGTTTGGGAAAGGATGGAAAAGAGAAATAAAAGAGAAAGGGTGAAGAAGAAGAAGAAGAACAATGGAGAGAGGAGAGAATTGATGAAAAAGGAAAGATAAAAGAGTTACTAAATTAAAACGAGTGGATCCGACTTTCTTCTTATTTTATTTTATTATTTTACTGATTTTGTTATTAAAGTTGATGTGTTATTTCGTTATTGGAACACATAAGGAGTGAATAAAGTGAAACTACTCAGTGATGAGTAGCTAAACATTGTCATGCTAAATAATGTAGCATCTTGGAAGACTCGAATCAGGAGGCTGGTTATTTGGTACTTTTGGTGGCTGCTTATTTGGCTGTTGGATATTTTTAAAAGTAATTTTCTTATGAAAATATATGATAGAGAGAAAAAATAATTAACTCCTTATTAAATTCAAATTTCAGTATCACTCAATAACTTCAATTCAATTTTTTTATAAGTATGCCTCTTTGTTCCCCCCTCACTCTCTTACATAAGAACCTTAA